CATCCCTCTTGGAACTAGACGCGGCAACAATCGACATTCTAAACTCTATGCCCAACGGGAATACTATAATCTCTAGTTATGATCAATACCGTAGTAGCGGTGAGACRATTGGATCCAATACCGMCATGCTTGCCGAGGCTGCCGATGCCTCTGCTACAGGAGCCACCATCGAGGATGGCAAGTCCGGCGATACCGACTTTCCCTTCGGAGATATCAAGGTTATTGCCACCATTGGAGAACGTTCCGTATGCCCAAGTTCCTACGGACAGAAGCTTGTTGGTGTACCCGATGGTGTCGGAGCCTACCTTACGGACGACAGCACGGTTCGTCTGATTTTCCAATCCGAATCCTATGGGCCTCTTCGATACGAGTCTTTCCCTATTCCAATGAATGAYGGAAGCTTTCTCATGGGTGGATCGCAGGTTCAATACATTGACTACGATCGTTCCATGATGGACGGGTTCATGAGCTATGATGGTCCCGCTTCCGACATGGTGGTTGATGTTGGTAACATGATCGAATACGTCTACAATCTCAAGGGCGAACCCGTCGGACCCCGTGTCGATGGTGGYCCCACTCCCGTGGGTGCCCACTTTGGAAATGCCGATGCCGATGGAAACTACGTTGTCGAGGAAGAACCATCTGAAAGCGACTGGTTTTTGCAATCTCTTTGCTCTGCCCACATGGAGGAAAGGCACCAATGGGGTGACGGCATTGGCCTCGAAGAYGATAYCTTCATTACAAACGAAGAATGGATTAACTATGCGGAGGGAGAAAACTTCGTCGGGCTCTCGGTAAGTATGAATTAACAGTAACTGTAACTACGTGGTTTATGATCTCGTGAAGATTCTGACACAACGCCTTGATTCKTGTGTGACTTGTTTCCTCTACGATTTGTGTTGTGTATTGAAGGCACATGCYATCGATGTGGAGAAAAAGRTCTCCTATGCCGTCGGTGTCTTTTCGAACGGTGGGTTTGAAAAGATTGTTGAGATCAATTCTCAGCAYCCCGACTACGTAATGTTCTCCATCTCGGGATACACCGGAGCATTCAGTAAGTGCGCCGGTTCTATAATAGTTGTAGAAATGAGCCCAAGGATTGTASAAAAGCAGCATCCTTAACAAGTCTAGAGTRTACCTCTCTAACAAATTGCGTTGCATCYCTTTAACCTCAGRGGGTYACTCTGCCGAACTCGATGCCCGAAATGCTGAATWCAACCGAACGGATGGAAAAGATTACATATGGACCAAAAACATCASTCCCGCTCGCATCTACGTGGGTGTAAAAGGCAAATTGGAAGATGGATCCGATGCTCCAGAGGACGACTTCTTGGCTCGGAACGGTCTAAAATACGGAAAGATTTACGGTTACGCGGTCGATATGGGCGAACCCGTCCGCCAATCCAAGGGATTGTGGCGAGATGAGTTCCACAGAACCCCCGAGTTCGCAGTCAATGGAGCCAAGGTCCGTGGATTCTGGATCGCCCAGGACTGGCAGTGGGACGGAGAGGTGAAGAACTACCGCYACGATGCTGGTTGGGAGTACCAGGACAAACCCCCACATACTGGAAACGGAAGTGGCCGCAAAAAGTTCGAGTGGTGGACTGCTGCAGGACCCGACTCCGACGGATGCAAGACCGAGCACAACACCCCCGATCCCCGTGAGGGTTACTCCGCCTTCATTCAATCTTCCACGTGCGGATACTTTGGACACTACTACGTACGTGCTTTTCTCTGCCCTACTCTCATCTTTGTTTTCTCCTTCCGGATTTTTTTTGGAGCGATCTCATACCGTTTTGTTTTCTATCCTCACCTTACTTTGCTTTCTTTCTGTGCTTGATTTTGTGCCTTGCATCCCTCGTCCGGTACGACTACCATCGATTTTTCACATCACAACTACGGCTTACAAATAGATTGAACACGCGGTTGAGGAACTGAACTTTGCCAACGGCGGTCTTCCCGATACTTTTGAAGGATCGTATTATGTTTACCAGGGAGAACTTGACATTCGCGATCAGATCGAKCTGGGCGGAAAGGGACAGTATGTCAACGGAACCGATGCACGCATGAACTACGACAAGCCCGAAACTCYGCACGAAACGTTCGAAGACATCGACGGTTTCGAAGTCGTTGAGGCGAGCGACGGTGCTCTTTACGCAATCATCCAAGAAGACAGCGGGAACTCATACGGCGAACGCATGTTCATCACAAAGCTGGAACATKATCGAAATAATAAAGAGCTGAAATACTACTTCGTTGCAATGAGCGGAGGGTCCGAAAACAGCCGCATTGTTAACGGGGTTTCCGTCCCGAAAGGTTCGTGGAGTAGGGCCACCGGCCACGAGTTTTCTGGCGTCTTTGATTTGTCGGGATTCTTTGCGAAGAACGAGGACGGATCCTATGTTGTTGCATCTTCCAACACAGGATTGGCCAAACGCAAAGCCGACCGAACCGTTGACATCAACGACAAGCTCATTATTTTGAACGTCCAGGCCCAYTCTCAGGCTGGAGGTGTACTTTCTGCCTTTCAACTGGATCGTGGTGGACAGCTCTACCTCTACCAGCCGAGTCTCCCACAAASTGAAGATGGTGTTATCGCCGAAATGGTCCGTGGCATCCCCTAGAAAGTGAATGATGAGTGGATGGAACGATRTAATACAGATGTAGTGTGTGGACATTAAAGAATGTTATTTGTAGCTGACTTCGTACCTTCTATTTCGCATATAGTAGTAAGAATGAAAACAAGTTCACGAGCAGAAGGAAGAATGTTTGAAGAGATCTTACTATGTACCATGCCAGTAACATCAATACCAGCCACTTCTTCCTGGTCRTGAGGGATTTTGAAGCATGCAATAGTTTTGCTGAAAATGTATTTACCTCTCAGTCGTGCTTTACTTATCCATATTCATACTCGAGAGCGCATTACGTATTGTACAATATCCTCGACGGACGATTTTGAAGAACAAATGTATCRAGATTTCGAATATCTACTGTCAATTGCTATTCAGATCGGGAACCTGAGACACAGCTTGGAAMGAGATAGATCATGGATCCCAATCATGAGAAAGATCCCAAGACGAYCTGATCTTTTGAGAGCGGCTGTTTCGATCTGCGATGAAAATTGCATCTGATWAAATTGGATTATATCCACCAGACGTCAATATCACAYTTTATGTGTCCAATGACTAATCCACCCTCGGTCAACGTTTCATTCAGTCTAAACGATTTGATACCAAATTCTTCGAGGCAGGATTTCCGTCGTCGTTGTTGTCGTTGTTGTYGTTTGCGGGTACCGTTGGGGCCGAAAGAGGAAGAACCTTTTGGTCCTTCATGAGCGCTACCACCACTTAGATCATCTACAATTGATTCAAAGATGTTCGATGACGACGACGATCTACCTTCTCCTTGGCTTCTACCACGAAAGTGCACAAATTCAGCGGCTTCTTTCACGACTCTTCGAACAGACGGCTCATCAGAGGGACCAGCAGCTGAGCCGCCGCTTTCCTTCTTTCCCGAACCAAACGCTGTAAAYACTGATGGTGAAGATAATCCTGCTGCAACAGATCGCAATGCCTGGGAGGGCTGTGAAACCATGTGGCAACCGTAGGAGCTGCGCGTTAGTTGGGCAGTGGCAGCATGAGGTGGAGCACGACGGTGCGGTGTAGACKCTAGAGGTAAAGGAGAAGAATGGCGTCTTGGTTTGGAATGGTTTCGAACTGGGTGCGTTGGAACAACCATGTTTCCTCGGTGGTTCTTCTTCTTCTTCTTCTTGTTTTCCGACTTGGATAACCTTTGCGGTTTGTGTTCTTGAGGTACTTTGGAAGTCGTTTGATCTCTTCCTTTTTTTGTCGCTTTACTCGTTTTCGATCTTTTTTCTCTTGAAACGATGATTAAATCGGCCAGGTTAAGGCAGTGGGACCCAATCACCGTACCCCCGAACTTTGAGTCAACCAAAGAAATGTGCAACTGGGCGCCTGTGAAGTCGATAGGACGTCCGTGTTCTGTATGTGTCTGTAGAGCGAAATGTACGTGATCGTCTATGTCATTCCATAGGGGCCGCATTGTTTCTTTTGCAACAGACGTCGAGGGGAACTTGATTTTTTTGTTCGTTCCGCCAGTGCTACCGTTTTGGGTGTGATCAGAGAATTCTGAGAAGTCGTTATTGGCACTCGAAACATTGTTTAAGGCCTTCGCCGATAGTTCTTTTCTTTTCCCAAAGTTAAACCGTGGTGGTATCAACYTCATGAGATTGGTTTTATCCTCAAGTCCGTCCTCGTCGTCGTTGAATACTACAATGGCTTCCTGYGGATCYGGAAGAAAGACCACTTTGGCACTTGGCAATTCGGCTTTTTCTTGTCGTCGGATGTAATCGTACTTGTGTGGGATGATTGAACAGCGGACGTTGGTCACAAAAAAGTGCATGSTTTCTCGATCATCGTCAATGCTTCCTGTGGTCGTAGTTGGTATGATGTCATCCAAGAAACCGCCGTCGTTGTAATCTGAAGTGGCCRTCGTCGATTTACGTATTCCTTTTTCGTCGTCGTGGTGATTTYCTTCTTGCAATAGTAGCTGCGCAGTCGACTTCCATTTGAGCTCTCGGTTGAGCCTGACAGAAAATCCGCTCCGGATAGGTTTGTGATCCGAGGACACGAACCCTTCAATGGGTTCGTAYAGAACAAGGTTTATGGCCGAGTCTAGAGTCTTATGACAAGGCTTGAACAGGACACGGTCAGTGTAKGACGGGGATCGCTTGGGATTGTAGCGGTAGCCATCTTCCCGGCTTACCTTGAAGGTGGGTGGAAAGTTGCAGTACGCCGTCTTGAATCCAACCAAACAGGTCTGTTTSTCGAGTGACTTGCGGAGCTCATCGTACTTGTTCAGGGTCCTCCAGGCTTGCTTGGAYACCATCGAATGACATAGCCGAACATGCCGTTCGGATCCGAGGGGAATGTCCGGCAAATTGGTTCGGTAGTTCAGGTCTCCCATGAAGAAGGTAAAATGAGACGATTGAGATGCGTCGTAGTATTTGCTTCCAGAGGTTTCCATAAGAATATCCTTGAAAGAATCGTTGCGGGCGYGGTAGTGTTTTTCTCCCTCGTGGGCTTCAAGGTGGGCCGTCAAAAACGACAACCGAGTGTTTTGGTTGATGGCCACCTCAGCGTAGATTCCACCCTTATTGGCAAGTCCTGCTTTTCCTGTCGCTTGGTAGTTCACCGAAAGAATATCCAGGGTTTTCAACAGTGAAGTAGGATTATCATTACTATCATCGCGGTCACTGCTGTTCTCTTTGTAGTAAATCAGAAGGCGCATCTGGCCAAACTACGTCGATAAATCAATTAATAGCAAACGTGACAATAATGWAAAGWGTAKTKGCGTYATCGATTGCAGGGGAGCARATAGAATGGTGAGCACAATGTTTCTTGCGCTGTTTCCGTTCGTCGTTCCGTAGATGGCTCGACGCAATAATTTGTACACATACCTGGTAGGATAAGGCTCTTGTGTAGCCTGGAAGCTGGTTGGACTCGATTCCGTGGTGCAAGACGTCCGTATCAGTCCATTTTTTCCCGGCAGTCGTGCTAGTGTTCAAATTCGGAGCAACATCGATGGCGTCCGTATTCGCATTCGCATTCGCATTCGCATTCACATTCACATTGTTGTGATCAGTTGCCTCGTCCAAAACTACGGAAGGAAAATTGTATTTCCTACCGGAGTCATTGTTGACGTGATCATCGTTGTAGTCTGATTTGCATTCTTCAGAAAGCAATGAATCGTCCGAAGCGAATAATTGGGCCGGAGGTGCTGCCGTTCCCTTTTCTGCTGGTCCCGTTTTTCGTTCGTCTCCTTCAGCAGCTTCTCCAGCTGCAGCAGTTTGGATGAAAGGACCAAAATCCAGTGCCACCATAGTTCTGCCGTTGTTGTTGTTGTTGTTGTTTCTGCCGCTGCTGTTGCTTTCGGCAATGTCGCTGTTGCTCATCAGGGGGCGATCTGTGTGGTCCTTTCCGGCCCCGGCAAATTCGTTCACGGTCTTGGCCGTCTTGGACGTGGCCTCGGTGATTCGTTTCAGGGGATTGACCATGAGTTTTTTAAGGATGCCTTGTTTTTTCTTTTTCGAAGCTGGTGGTGCTTCTCCTTTTGGGGCAGCAACAACGCTATCGGCGCCATGGCTCGGTTTCGATGGTGCTGTGGTGACTCCGTCTGCTGGTGGTTCTTCCCCGCGGTGTTTGTTTTGAAACAACTTGTCGTTGTCGTCGTCGTTGTCGTCGTTGTTGTTGTCGTCGTTGTTTTCGTCATTGTTGTCGTCGTCGTCGTTGTTGTCGTTGTTGTTGTCGTTGTCCCTGTTCCAGAAAGACTCGTTCTTGTAGATGGGATCGATTTCGTTGTCTTTTCCCAGACTCGCATCGTCGTCGGTTTCGATGTTGTTCTCGTCGTCTGTTTCGTACAGCAAGTCGAAGTCGTCATCGCTGCTATCGTCGGTTCTGTCGCGGTGTTGCGGCCTCGCTTGTTTCTGGTGGTCGTTGTCGTTGTTGTTGTTGTTCCTTGGTTTGGTTTCAGAGGCATTCTTGTCGTCATCGTCGTTCTCCTTTTCGGAGGCTGTGGCTTTGGTTGTTGCTTTCATCGAAAACGTGGCCTCCTGCATCCCAATGACAATAATGTCGTAACAAGCACCTCCGAGACCAGGATATTGATTCTCGGTACTGGTCGCAAGATTGTCTGAAAGTGGTGCCCTTGGCAGATCGCCGTTGCTAGTGTCCTCACCTTCAGAATATRAATATCGTACGTCGACCAATTCGGGAACGACTCTTGCATCAAAGACTTCGGCTGGCACCACGCTGCTTTTGGATGTGACGGGTTGGGTACCGTCCGCCTCATCGGGTGTGGAAGCAGATGTACTCTTGCTTGCTGCTGCTGCTGCTGCTGCTGCTGCTGCTGCTGCTGCTGCTGCTGTTGTTGGTTGAAAGTGTTTGAAGTCGTTCGAAACGTTGCTTTTTGCGTGCTCGCGATCGTCTGTGGACACGCTTTTGTTGCTGTAAATGGCAGGCAGCGATTTTCTGCGAGGTAGGTTTCGTTTTGGAGTATCTCTTTGGAGTCCCGGTCTCTGTTTTGTTTTTGGTGGCTGTTCCTGTTCCTGTTCCTGTTCCTGTTGCTGTTGCTGTTGCTGTTGCTGGAGCGACTTCAAAAAGTCTTCGTAATTCGAGTCGGTGATGGAATCACTTCGTACCGGTGGTTTCCGTTCAAAGTTGTTGTTGTTGTTGTTGGTGGTGGTGGTGGTGGTGGTGGTGGCGGTGGTGGTGTCGGAAATGGCATTACCGGGAACGGGTTTGTTCTGCGGCCGATGCTTCTGCGCGAGGCTTTCCAAAAACGACTCGTATTCACCGCTAGTGGTCGAAGTGTTGCTGCTTTCCGTGGGCTCTCCCGTSTCCAGCCTTCCCTCGCTCTTGGAGTTGGCCCGGCCGTTCGTGCTCATCAATTGCCGCTTGGAGAGTTCCGCGGCACGCCTCGTGGGTCTCGGTGCGCGACTTTGACCTTGACTCCTGTGGTTCCCACTGCCCGGGGGGGGAGCAAGTGGGGGAGGATGCATTCGCACCGGAAACCTGGTCTGTGTGAGGAGCTTTCCGTCCTTGGGGATCCAAGCGTTCCAGGATTCGGCATCGGGAGGTGCATTTCCCAGATTGGCCGTGCAGACGAAAATATTGATGCGCTGGTCAGACGACGACAGCGAATGAAGACGGGGCTGCGGCTGTTGCTGTGGGAATTGTTGTGGAACGGGGGTTCTTCCGGTTGCGGGTGCGGGTGCGGGTGCGGGTGCGGGTGCGGGTGCGGGTGCGGGTGCGGGTGCGGGTGCGGTTGCATGTGCATGTGCATGTGCATGTGCATCGCTGGTGTTTTTGGTGGGGCGTTTTCTTGCCGTGGCTGTTTTCTGTTGGTTTTGTTGGTTCTCTTGCCGCTGGTGCTGTTTTGCTGCCAATGTTGCTGCTGCTTTCGAGGCCCTGGATTTGTGTTTCTTCTTCTTCTTTTTCTTCCGTTTCTCCCGGACTGGAGGCGTCGTCGACGACGAGGAAGTTTCACCCTCCGCAGGCCTGCGTTCGCGTTTGCTTTCCCGTTCGTTGCACGCGTTCGGATCACCAATGATTGCAGTTTCAGGCGGTGTTGATGCCGCTGTCGATTTCGCTGTTGCCAAGAGTTCTTCTCCCGGCGATTCTTGTGTCGGCGAGGATCCGACCATTCTCTTACCTGTTTCTCTTTCTCTCTAAYAACACCGAACACTGTAGTTGGATTGGAGTATAAATCTAAATGTACCTCTTGTGGGCTATCCCTTGGTTCCCGTGTCGTTTGGAACAGGTTCTGTTCTACCGCGTTTCATTTGGTATTCGTAGCAGTAACAGTAACAATATCCATCGAGTGCAAAATCGATCCTGATCCGGTACGAGTGGGGATAGATAGGTATGTACGAGTACTCGTACGCTACAAATACAAAAAGATTGATACCAGTGGGTACGTACCGAGTACGAGTTCTACTGTACGGTGCCACCTACTGCACTTCGTTATTATTGTGCGGATACGAGTATATTACGAGTACGAGTACGTACAATTCCGTACTGAATCCTACAATCAAACAAATAAAGGACGCATTGCATCCTTCCGTTCCAAGTTGTACGCTACCCTTGAGGTTATATCAAATACTACTACTTCGTGCTAGCACTTCGTACATTATTAAGAAGAACGAAGAACAGTAATGTACGGTACGGTATGATACATAACCTTTATTTTGTGCCGTTCAATCTTTCAAGACATTGAAGTCATCGAGTCTCGAACGATTTTGTATGTCGGAAATAAAGAAAAATATGACCACGGGCTTAATACCGTGCAAAAGACACTTCTTTTTGTAATTTCCGTATGACTTAACTTTAGGAAAAAGAGATTTTGAAGTGTTGAATCGCGAAGTGTCTGCTGCGAACTCGGAGAAAGAAGCTTGCTAGCGCCGGCCATCCTCTGCTCTTCTTCCCCCAAAATTTCCCCTCCCCCTCCCCATTAAAAATTGCCAAACTTTGTAATCCCTTAAAAGTTACTACTAGAAGTACTAGTAGTGCTTGCATTGGCTGTGATGCTACAGAAGTGCCAAGCAATTCTAATGCAACTATATTGTGGTATCATGTACAATTCAAAAATTACCAGCTTGGCATACTAAAATACTGGTAGCAAAAGAAGAGCACACTACTAGTAGTAGTACTACTACTAGTAGTAGATCCTCGTACTAGTAGTAGTACTACTACTAGTAGTAGCTCCTTGTACTAGTAGTAGTAATAAGACAATCTTGTTTCACCAACAATAGAGTTTATGTCTTCAGCATCAGTCCATTGTAATTTGATGAAGTGTTTCATTTGGTGTGCGTTTGCTACTATTCTAACTGCACCATGCTGGTTGTCAGCTACTACTATAATGGGGGTTGGTTTTGTGTGGGATCATATCTGGTGTAGTACATTGTAGTTCCTCCTCCATAATCTGTCTAAAATTGTAGCTGCTGGTGCTGGTGGTACTGGTACTACTAGTACTACTACTAGTAGTAGCATCAGTACTAGTAACAAGAAGAAGGACACCACGACCTCATCCTACTACTACTAGTCCTCTGAAAATTGCTCATCCTGATGCGCTTCCCTCCTGTTATTGGTGATGGGAGGAGCCATCACCACCAAATCTCAAAGAAATCTACCTACTAGTACCACCACTAAATTGTATTTCCCATCCACCTCACCAAGAAGAAGTGTAGTACTAGTAATGGCAACAAGAAATCCAGTCATTTCTTCATAAAGGCAACATTACTGTTCAACTTTTTTGTTGGTTGCTTGCCACCACCACCATTGTGTCATCATGTCAGCACCTCAGCATAGTAACAACAATAACACTAACAACACAATCAATAACAGCCAAGAACAAAACAAGAAAGAAAAACAGCTTCTGTCTTCTTGGCTACTATCCTCACCACCATGTACAGGTTTAACCCTGTTCTTTCTTCTTTGTGGTAGTACTTTTAACATGAAAAGCAATCCTTTTTGCAGTCAATTGTTAGTAAAGGCAAGCAACAAAAAGAAACTTCTGAGTTTTACAAAAAAGCATCATTCCATGCAATTGACCCAAAATTGATGGTAGTAGTAGTACTACTACTCTTCCTTGTCATGCAATGTGTTGCTACTATAGGAGTATTAGTAATGTAGTAGTACTGTGGTAGTCAAATAGTAGCAGTAAAGGAACTCCTGGTGGTGCTAGTACAAAGAAGAAGCAAAATTTTGTTAGTAGTACCAGTAAGCTGCTCCTAATTGAGTCAGTATGGTTTGAAGTGTTGAGGAAGAAGTACTACTACTAGCAGGAGGGGCTCAAGAAGTATTTGACACTGCAATCTGTTTGTGACATTTATTTTCAAAGACCAGCAACTCTTATATGGCCCTCTCCAGCAGTTGTTTGCTACAAGGCATGCTCTACAGATGTTTTCATGAATTTTTTCTCATATGACACCTGTTGTAGGCAATACAACACAATAGTACCAGTATGATCATTATCCTTCTTGCTTAAGAGCAAAGCATACTCCTGCTGCAAAGAAAGAAGGGCAAAATAACAGTAGTAGTAGTAGTAGTAGTAGTAGTAGTAGTAGTAGTAGTAGTAGTAGTAGTAGTAGTAGTAGTAGTAGTAGTAGTAGTAGTAGTAGTAGNGCTTATCTTGAGTTTGCCTTTGTGGCTTTTGAAACCGGTCTGTACGGGATTTACTAGTAGTAATAAGACAATCTTGTTTCACCAACAATACTAGTACTACTAGAGTTTATGTCTTCAGCATCAGTCCATTGTAATATGGTGAAGTGTTTCATTTGGTGTGCGGTGTGCGTCTGCTGTTCTAACTGCACCATGCTGGTTGTCAGCTACTACTATAATGGGGGTTGGTTTTGTGTGGGATCATACTATCTATGGTGTAGAACAATGTAGTTCCTCCTCAATAATCCGTCTAAAATTGTAGCTGGTGGTGCTGGTGGTACTAGTACTACTAGTTCTTCTATTAGTACTACTACTAGTAGCATCAGTACTAGTAACAAGAAGAAGGACATGGCCTCATCCTACTAGTACTAGTAGTCCTCTGAAAGTTTCTCATCCTGATGCTCTTCCCTCCTGTTATTGGTGATGGCTCCTCCCATAACCACCAAATCTCCTCAAAGAAATCTACCTACTAGTAGTAGTACCACCACTAAATTGTATTACCCATCCACCTCAAGAAGTGTACTAATGGCAACAAGAAATCCAGTAATTTCTTCATAAAGGCAACATTACTGTTCAACTTTTTTGTTGGTTGCTTGCCACCACCACCATTGTGTCATCATGCCTTTGTGTGCCAAGTTATTCTAACACCAGCACCACAGCACCTCATAGTAACAACAAGAACACTAACAACACAATCAATAACAGCCAAGAACAAAACAAGAAAGAAAAACAGCTTCTGTCTTCTTGGCTATCCTCACCACCATGTACAGGTTTAACCCTGTTCTTTCTTCTTTGTGGTAGTAGTACTTTTATCATGAAAAGCAATCCTGTTTGCAGTCAATTGCTAGTAAAGGGAGGAGGCAAGCAACAAAAAGAAACTTCTGGGTTTTACAAAAAAACATCATTCCATGCAATTGACCCAAAATTGGTGGTAGTAGTACTACTACTCTTCCTTGTCATGCAATGTGTTACTACTATAGGAGTACTAGTAATGTAGTAGTACTGTGGTAGTCAAATAGCAGTAAAGGAACTCCTCCTGGTGGTGCTAGTTCAAAGAAGAAGCAAAGTTTTGTTAGTACTAGTACTAGTAAGCTGCTCCTAATTGAGTCAGTGTGGTTTGAAGTGTTGAGGAAGAAGTACTACTACAAGTATTTGACACTGCAATCTGCTTGTGACATTTATTTTCAAAGACCAGCAACTCTTATATGGCCCTCTCCAGCAGTTGTTTGCTATGAGGCAAAGTTGTGTGTTGGAGACAAATGTGGGAGATGCTCTACAGATGTTTTCATGAATTTTTTCTCATATGACACCTGTTGTACTAGGCAATACAACACAATAGTACCAGTATGATCATTATCCTTCTTGCTTAAGAGCAAAGCATACTCCTACTGCAAAGAAAGAAGGGCAAAATAACAGTAGTAGTAGTAGTAGTATTAATAGTACTTCTACTAGTAGTACTACCTAGTAGTAGCAGTACTGTAGCAGAATGGTGATGTCAGATCAGAGTGGTCCATGCAACACAATCATGATGCTCCTGCATGGTAACAATGGCAGCAGCAACAAGAACTACTAGTAGTACATGTTACTTGTACTATTGGAATGCAGGTAGTACTACTAGTGCTACTACTACTACTAGTATTAGCACTAGCTAGTAATAGTAGTAGTAGTAATAGTAGTAGTAGTAATAGTAGTGAATACCTCTAATGTATTCCACAACTAGTAATAGTAGTGCTAAACACCATTTCTTGATACTACCACCACAGGAGTACAAAAAACACCATAGTACTACATTCATGCCATCATCATCATGAGGAGGAGGAATTGATTTGTACACCAACATATTTTTACCATCAATACTAGTACTAGTACTACTAATTTCAGGTCTCCATCCTTTAAAAATAATATTAGCTAGGTACTGCTGCTGGTGGGATTATAGTATTGTATTGATACTGCCAGTGATTCTGACACAAGAAATACTACAGTAGTATTTGAATGCCAATAGCTACACCAAAACCAGATCCTTTCTTGCTACTTGTATGATGATCAGATGTTACRTCCAAAACTTTCATTCCTCACAAAGAAATAGTACAAATACAGCCAGTAACTATTGTTACTGCTGGAACTAATTCTACCACTAAAGACAGCACTAGTGTAGGCCTGTCATGGTAACTACAACACCAAACCAAGATTCTTCACTGCTATCATGGTAACTACAAAAATCTTATTCTCTAATCACCAATGGAAAAGCATCATATAATATTTTGTGATGCCCAACACCTACTGCTATATCCTACATGCTGGCAAAGCAACAAAAGTGCCACAAACAAAATAGTTAAAATACCATTATTACGGATAATTTTGTTACAAAACACAGTGAGGCCCATACTCCTGGTAGTGTCAACAAGTGAGTGCTATGCTATGCTGCAGASATATTATATTTGTCTCTGATTATAGTATTACTATATCATGATGAAATACCATGAGAAATATACCAGTAATGGTGAAAACACCACCAGTATTACTATTGTTGGCAATTCTTCCCACAAAACATGGTGTGGTGAGATGCTCATAACCACACCAAAAGCAGCTCAGWTGTTACTGGTATGCTGCATATGCTGATTCAATATATTCTTGTCTCTGGTCACMAATGGGCTACTACTACTGTGTAGTACTACTACTATTTATAAACAAGTCCAACACTTAAATTCCTGGAAAATATGTAAATGCAGTAAACATACAAAGAACATTGGTCAAGAACATTGRTCAAAAATCCACACCACTACTAGTTACCAAAAGAAAAGATTATGCTGCTCTGCTACTTCTAGTAGYAGTATGTCCAGCAATGTCACTTTATACTTTGAGAAATACACCAAATGCAACAAAAATACTACCCTGTCCAATTACCACTGAACACTGCTGAGYGATTGCCACTTTCCCAAAATAGCAATAGAAGCATCATTGTATTCAGGGTCAAGCATCATTGAAAAGTGGAGAAACTTACTTACAGGTGATGCCTTGAATGCCTGAAAGATATTGTGTTTCTTGTGACAAAGCCTTGGTGCAAAGAAGGGACACAAGCATCTCAGCAGTATAGGTTTGTTGTGTACTACTACTAGTACTAGTAGAGAATGAGGAGTGAAATTAATTCAAAATTGGCTGCTACTAGTCCTGATACTAMAAAAATTTAAACAAGAAAATTCTGGTAGTACTAGTGAAGGGATGAGGATAGACTTGAGTATCTAGTATTGAAAAAAAATGAAGCTGTGCAGTATCAGTTATCTTGAGGAATTGCACCAACAAAGCATACTAGAAATAGAATCAGGGAGCAAAAGCAAAAACTTTATTCTTTGAAGCAAAATACTGCTGGAACCAAGTTGAAGACTTAGACCAAGAAGGAAGGAGATGGTGGTAGTGCTCAAGATTTCTGACATTAATTCTGCTTTAACACATTTGAGCTGGTGGTGATRATGGAGCAGGAAAAAGAGGTAAACACTGAAAAGGATACCAGCAGTACTCCCAGCACTAAAAAGTAGCGTTTATGATCAATTCAACAGCAGTGCAGAGGTCAACATTGATCATAGTTGTACCAGTACTATTCCAGTAAGAAGATGGGAACTTGAAGAACTTTGCATCATGTCTCCAAATCATTTTCATCCTTTTGTTACTAGCAGTAGCAATATTCAAGAAGGCAAGCAAGTTTACAATGCCTCAATGGTCATCCAGTKGTGGAAARTGCTAYACCAGGCAACTTTCTTAATCACTACCTTGATATGTAATCCATCCCAGTGCTTTCTTCTTAACAGTACACCTTGTTCTTCTTGTTGTTGTTCCTCACTTTTCAAGATGCTTCTTCCACCTGACTCCTCCTCCTCCCATCAACAAGGTGCTCCCACTTCTTGGGTCCAGAGTTCAATGATTTGAGATTTACTAGCAGGAGTTGACGTTGGGGTTGGGGCTGAGTTAATTTGYTGGCAGAAGAAGAAGCACAAAGAAGAGCAGCGGCAGGTCAATATGTTGGAACAACAGATTGAGTTTCTTGTGCATGTTGTTSCTCTTGCTGAYGAGGACTGACGAGGARGMWGCTGMYRAYAATWRTKRTGAWGAAKAMTACT